TTTCTCTTTCTTTTTTTTTGCAGACGAGCATAAAAAATATGGAGAGGGAGCTGCTGTGCCCGGTCTGCAAAGAGATGTACAAACAACCTCTGGTTTTGCCGTGCATGCACAACGCCTGCCACATCTGCGCCACCGAAGTCCTCCTCCAACAGGGCTACATCTGTCCTGATCCGACTTCGGAGCCCACTTCCCCGGCGTCCACCCCAGCCACGCGGAGTCCTCGTTTGGGGCGCCGGATCGTGCCAAAACCGGAGCGCCTGGACCGGCTTCTAAAATCAGGTTTTTATTATTATTATTTTTGGGGACTTCTTGGAAAATGCAGGCAGTCCTTGACTTACGACAGCAATTGGATACCCCAACGTTTCTGGCGCTAAGTTTAGAAAGTCGTTAAGTGAGTTGTGCTCTGTTTGGCGACCTGTTCAATGAATCCGTGCCCGTATGTCAACTCATAAAAATATTTCTAGGGTCTGTTTAGAGCTGCCAACATAAATGGAGGGGGGGAGCAGTGCAGCAGCTTGGAAACTGAAAGCGCATTCCATCGATGTTTTCGAAGATAGTAACTAGGGGACTGAAGTTTCTGCCGTGCAAACTTCGAACTGAAGAGCCTGATTGGGGGTTCTTCGGCGGGGGGGGGGGACGGGACTCCGCTCTGGTGACAGGAAGGGCATCCGGCCAGTAAAAACACTCGGTTCCATTCAGTTGCCTAGACTCCACCCCACAAGGGGTTATGGGGGTTGTTCAAAGAGGATAGATCACAGGGATGCTGCCATGTCGTAAGTGTGGGGGGGGGAAAGGTCGCTTCCCCCCCCCACTGCCGTCGTAACTTCAAACGGTCGCTAAACGGAGGACTTAGCTGTATACAGTCGCCAAGTGTTGAGAGGGCACAATCTTGAGGGCACCAAGTCAACATTTGGACAGGAACCCAGAACCAAAGCCCAAAGCAATTGTGGAGAGAGAGAGAAGTTCCATGAATGGATCTTTTCTACCTGACTGCTTAAGAGATAGACTGCTCCTCCTCTTGGCAGTTCTCTTTTTCCTCCTCGATCAATTCCCTAAGTAACATTTATTTCTCCTTTTTTTTAATCCTCCTCCTCTTTTCATGATCCCATAATTCCTTGCATTGGGGTGGAGTCGGGGGCAACGGAAGGGAGATGAGTGTTTTTACTGGCCGACTGCCCTTCCAGTTTCCGATGCGGAGTTTTGTCCGGCAGATACATTCTCATCGTGCCCAGAGAGAGAAATATCGGCCTCTACCGCCGCCTCTAGGCCGCCGCAGCGCTCCATCTTTCTCCTTTGTAATCATGTCCCCCCCCTCTTCCCCTACCAAACCCAGGTTTTGGCACCTATCCCGGCCGGAAACGGGGTAACGCTTTACACCCACAGAGCGTCCTTTTTCCGTGCCCGCTGTGCCAGCGAGACGTGGACCTGGGCGAGCGAGGTTTGGGCAGCCTCTTCCGGAACCTGACCCTGGAACGGGTGGTGGAGCGTTACCGCCACACCATCAACGTCAACGCGGCCATCATGTGCCAGTTCTGCAAGCCGCCGCAGCTGGAAGCCACCAAGGGCTGCACCGAGTGCAAGTCCAGCTTCTGCAACGAATGCTTCAAGCTTTACCACCCGTGGGGGACGCAGAAAGCGCAGCACGAACCAATCGCCCCCACGCTCACTTTCCGTCCCAAAGTAAGTCTCCCCTCCTCTCGCTAGACCTCTTTGCTACG